GGGGGGGGGATCACGAAAGTTATATATAGTTATGAGGGGGGATCACTTCAATAAAATAACACTTAAAGGGGGGATCGGCTAAATTTCATCGTGTTTAGCCCAAAATCCTCCGACCCCCCCCAGGTGATAAATAATGACCGGTCCCTTAAATACCCCGATAACTAACGCGAGCGACTACGGACGAGGCAGGTAAATTGGACGCTGATTATGAAATCTAGTAACATTTTTGGGGGCAGACATTTGAACAAACGATGGCGGAATATGTCATTTATGCAAATAGAATAAATATCGAGAATTATAATATTTCTAAACAAATTCAGTTAATTAAGGTCTTTTGATATAGTCTTTAGGAGACCATACCAATATTTTTCAATAGCTTTTCTATCGCCTTTTAATTGATTTTGTCCTTGTCCGATCGCTATAAAGTGATTTTTTATGAATTTAAGTTTCTCAAAATGCAGTTTTAAGTAAAATGGGCGAAAGCGACAGCGAAATGGGCAGGCGTAAACTTGTTTATGTTCGTATTCTTGTAGCCGCCATCTTTGATTTTATGACAGAGGAAGATTGGGGAGGGTAGAAGCACTGCAGGCTACTATGACAACAATAAACAAAAAACTCTGAAATCTATAAAAGCCGAATTTTGCGCGATCTACTAAGACCTGCTACTGAAAATCCGATACAAAGAACTTAAAGTGTGGTGTTTAGCAAATAGCCTCCTTGAGAATTAAAAAAGTTGTGTATGTTTGAATTCAAATAAAACGTAAATATATTTTAAACCAAACCCTTCAATAGCCTTGATAAATTACTTAAGTTCTAAATGACTCAAATTAATCTTAAGTAGCGTCGGAATGCTGCTTAATATCATACTTCGCTGCTTAGAAACTGTGGTGTATTTTCTTTCTTGCGATCCTCAAAACTAGCCTATTTTCAGTACATTCCAGGGTGAATAAAACTGCATCGAAACACCTTGAAAAAAATGACATCAGATGAATATCTGATGGTGAAATACTGTGGCAAGTTATGTTTGATAATTATCACAAAAGCACAAAATATCGGGATGATATAAATGGAAATATATCGCAATTGACGTTGCTTACGTTTGGGAATTAATAAATCGCATTGAAATATGCATGTGCTAAACTTAAAATCTAGTAACTACACCTGAGTCAATGACAACCGCTAGCAGGGAAAATTCTATCCTGAGATTTTAACCCCTTGCGTTACGTCTGCAAATACAGATATAGAAATGAGAGTTGACAAGAAGGCAATAAAATAACCTACCCTCAAAACGTGGGGCAGGAACGCGCGACGAAGCCCCATTAACCATCCCTTGCCCCTTGTTGAAGAGTCTTGACTATTGCACTTTGTGGGCTTGTCTATTTAATGTAGACATAGACTAAAAATTAAAAGTACAGATTACTACGAGAGCCTCCCCGAGAAAAATCACATGTTTTGCCATATGAGCACAAAGTGATATTTTGAATGAAAACGTTCAAATTTACCCCTATTCTGGCACATCATAAATTAGTCTTCTTTCGAAAGCCTCCTGGAAACAAAGGAGCAGTGACGTCGATTAAAAAACTACGTCTTCAGTAAAGGAACACTTGACTTTAGTTACAAGTAAACAAGTGTAGAGTTCTCACTAGAAAAACTTCTTTCTTCAAACTGAAACTGCTGTTAAAAAGGACTAAAAGGTAAAAAATACCAGCAAGATGTGTCACAGGGAGATGCAACAACAGTGACGATTTTAAGAAAGAAACCACTCTCTGGCACACGGGGTATCCTATGTATAGTTGTGTTTTAATTATGATTTATACGACAGAACTTTCAGTATTTTTTGTTATCATATTTGTGATCATGTGTTTAGTTACTCGAGCGATTACAATCTTGTGATGAGCAGTGCGTGCTCCTTTTCAAGCGTTGATCGGCGACAGTTGCCTGAGCAAGAAAAGGATCTGGTAGCGTGCATTACTAAGTCCGGAGCCTGTAACCTAAACAGCCTATTCTGACATCTACGCCCAGAAAATAAACTATGGGCAAGCAATTATTAATAAACCATTCTAATAAAAGTTTTAGAGTTATATTTAGAAGGCTGACGTTGAGCTTTTCTATGAAGATTCCTTATGACAACCTCAGTATTTCCTAATTCCAGAAATTAACTCTGTTCGTATTAATAAAAAAAGAGAAGAAAAAAGGAGAAACTGAAAAGGAATTGATTGGAAATTTGAGTTACATTAAATGCATCGCCTCACTTTCAGTTGAACTCAGCTCGTGTTATCTTGCATATATCGGGATGGGTCAAGATAAAATACCTCTACCTCATCAGGTGAGAAGTATCATTGTTTCTTGACCAACCGTCCAGGCCTGGCCAGGAGTTTGGATAGGATGTCCGACAGTGGAGCTAGAACAGAGTAGTGCGAGCCCAAGCGTGCTTCTGTGGAGCTTTTTCACACGGCATCAACATGAATGACGAGGTCCGAACCAAACTTTGGACCATAATATGAATGCCTGTAAATTGCCCATGTATAACCCCCCCAAAAATGTAAAAATGTTCTGAGTTGGTGTTATCTCGCATTTAGCCGGATGGGTCAAGATAAAATACCTCCACCTCATCAGGTGAGAAACAACATCCAGGCCCCTTCAGGATTGCGAACCTGTCCTTCACTAAAGCTGGAACAGAGTAGTAACTACCCAAAACTGCTCTTGAGTACCTGATAGTGTTGGCATCAAGATAAATGACGAGGTCCTGACCAAAATTTGGACCATAAAATGAATGCCTGACAATTGCCCTTCCTGCCATTCCTTGCTTTACCTTGCTCACAAATGGTGCCAGCCCTTCACTATTGTTGAGGGAAAGAAATAAACGTTTCGGAAGTAGCACCATAGCGACCACTGGATTTAAACAAAACAGAAATAAAGCATAAAATAGGTATTTCAAATAACATTTTTGTTACCATGTATATTTTTCTTGCAGAAGCTAGTAAAATAGCCTATTTGTACGAGGATTGTCATTTTTATTTGTTCCTCTGAATTTTTTTAAAACACGAAATTCGTTTATCGCAACACCTCCCGAAGGCTTAAATGGATGGGCAGCAGCGCGAAAAAACCGAAATCAGCCAATAGATAAAAAAAAAAAAATGTTAGAAAAACACAACAAAACTAGGTAAGAATTATAATGTTATTTAAAGTGAAATTCTGTTGGTAGACGCTGTCAGAAGCTGGTGGAGTCGTATTTATCAAGAATTCAAAGATACATTCGAGGAAAATGAGTAGGGTTTTAAAGGTGAAAGCCGAACTTTAACTCCTGCATGTCATAATAATACTGTCATCGCATTTGAAGAATCAGTATATATGGCCGACAAAGCCGATAAGTGTCTTGAGGCAAAACCATCGCGAAGTCTCTTTACGGCGTTGTACAGTATTTTCATGAGGAGAATTAGTCGTGATTCACTAACAATAAACATTTTTCCTCTCAGGATGAATAACCAACAGTGAGCTTCACAGCGGATGAACGGACATTTTGGCCTTTGCACCCAGTGGAAGTCACTGGCGTTGCTTGGAAACCTTGATGAGGTCATCTATTTTGGCGTCGAGTTGCATATAAAGATGTGTTGTGTTTTTGCTTCGCTGTGCGGTCCACTCACTTTCCATTCCGACAAAATTATTATCTTGAGGTAAATGAACCGACAATGGCGAAAAAACAACAAAGGTTTGGAGCAGGTGTTTGCGTGAAAACGTATAAAACTTTACCAAATTTATACTCCCTCTTGATATCTGAATTTTTAACAAAAACGAAATCACCTCACTACCTCACTTCGGTCGGCAAGTCTCCTGAACTTAGCTGACAAAATTCTCGCCCCTTGCGTTGCAATGCCCCAGCCTAGTCCCTGGGCGTTGTCTCTTGGTCAGTTGTCCGCAGGAAGTCAGAACTCATGGTAGAGTCCAGGAACGACCGAGCCCAAAGCGCCTGGGGACTAGGCTGGCATTGCCCGTTTTTGTAGTTTTGATTTCTGAAACTGATTCCAGATCAACGTCCTTCTTCAGGATGTCAATAAAAGGTAAAGTGTCTTCCAGTTCTTCCACGGCTAACGGTTTTTCTTCCTGGCTACTACAGCACAACTTTGGATGCTGCTTTCTCTTGATCACAAGCCTCTCCGGTTCTTTCGTTTAGTTCATTGTTCATAGTACATGCCAATATGCCGTATGTTATTTTTATAGGATATTGAGCGATACAACTGGTATTCGCGAGTTGCACGTATCTTTCTCTATGTTCTTTTTCAGGGTCTAAGACTGGTTCAACAAGCCAGTGCTCGACAGATGCGTTGAACCTAATAATTTGAGATAGTGTCGAACACACCTCTCCGCAGTGCCATCGCTGATGAGGCCTATATCTTCTGATACAAGATCGTGAAATTTCGATTTCGGGATTTTTTTGGTTAGGAAAATTTTGGCAAGTACTTTTTTGGTAGCTTGATTTAAGTAGGGATTTTTTGGGGTATTCAAAACTAATGTAGCCTGCAAAACAGTCCGAATTTTTGCGACCAGTTTAACTACGCGCGAGCAGTCAAACAAAAGGTCAGAACCGATTTCTTTACCGATTTCTTTACTGATTTTGAGAAAGAACCGACTGTTTTGCAGTCTAAAACTAATGTTTCTATTGTTCGTGTTAAATCATTTTATTTAGAAATTTTTATTATGGCTCGGAAATTCGGCATGGGATTTTTGGGGAGATAAATTGCAATCTTGGACAAAATAAAATGGAACAGCAAGCCCCCATCCCCCCCCCAAATCAAGGATGAAGCCACGCGAAGGGCAAAAACGCGCCATTTTCCCATCCTTGATTGGGGGGGGGGGGGG